TAATTTAGCGGTGAGAATACTTCCCACCTGGCTAGTACGCAACAAAATAAAGTCCAAATGTCGCATGTGATAGTGATTTCACGTTTGCCAAACCTAATCCAAGCGTGGACCGAAAGTAAATGCTAAATATTAGGCTATAAATCGCTGTTAATTAGCTCATTTAACTACTAAAGTCATCTGGACTCGTTTGTCTGTTTGCAATCAAACTTAAGTTTAATTGAGAACATCATCCTCTCACCTAATCCACATTCACTAACACCTAAATGCGACCATCGTATGTTTGCTATTGCAATTATTTCGTCCCCCCCTTTTTTTTTTACTATGATTGATAGTTATTATCACTGAAACAAGGATGATAAGTTTTTTTTGAATATTACAGGAATCGAACTTGCAACCTAACACACACTACACACACCCAACACCACTAGGCTAATCCTAGTGGTGCAAAGGTAAAAGGAGGATGATAAGTTGAAATAGTTATACTTGCTCCTTTTTTTAATTAGGGTTAGCAGCTTGCTTTGTTATTTTCTTTAAAAGAAATATTATAATATATATTGTGAAAAACCTTCATGAGATTTACAAGTCTTTCTCCCAAGGTAATACATGGATATACCTAACAAGTTAACGTTTAAGGAATTAAAAATTAAAACTATTAAAAATATATTCTATATCTTATATTAAAAAATATTCTATTTTAAATAGTTGAGACATTTTATTAAAAATAATAAATAGTTTTATTTATTAACATGGGGACGTTAACGAAACACACAAAATAATATCATAAATCATGTGTGATGTTCGACCTTGAGAACGCAATGCTGCATTAGGTTTCTACTTCATAAATCACAATCATAACCTGTTCGTGCGGTGTCCCGTATCTTGGGGTCACATAGGGTAGTGTCCCTTCCGATACGTGGAACATTACCTACAGTCTAAGGAGTTTTCGGTTTCATTTTTCATAACAATTTATGCTATTTGGCATACCCTCGAACGTTTTGTGTGCAATTTTGGTTCAATAATTAATTTCCCCACCTTTCCTCCCACAAACATGTGGTCTCTAAGAGATTATAGTTCTTCAAAAACTTTTACAATATACATAGGTACAGGCTATGATTGACAACGTTCATACTGTCTGGTTGGGTTTCAATTTGTGGACCATATATGTGACATTGATTTTCTTTTTAATTTATGAAAATAGTTATACTCTTCATTGTTATATTATTTCATGTATTCCGATACAGAAGTCAACATTTGAATTTAATTAAATAAAGCTACCATTCATTTTATTTAAAGTGTATCTTAATTTCAACTCATTAATTTTAATAGTAAAAATATATTTACTAGCTCAATTTAAAATAAATCTAATTATTTTTCTTTCAAATTTAAGCATATTCTTTTAGTAACTATTACCTAATTTGAGTTTGTTATACTCTATAAAAGGCAGGGTACTCCCGACTCATATTTAATATATAAGGGATATTTTTTTAGATCGGTGTAAGAATAATAAATTTTACATTCACTTTTAATCATTGATTTTTGTAAATTTGATGGTTGTAATTTATTAGAAATTAATAATTAATTAATAAAAATAATCCAATTAATCTTAACTGCTTGAATGATAGAAATTAATAATTAAGATTGAGTGTAAGTTGATCTTGTCTCAATATATAATGTATATATTTAAAGAGATTAATATTTTTCATGTTATAATAAATAAAATTATCTCCTATACGCATATAAAGTATGAGGCTCATATGAGGCCATATGAAGAAAAAAAAAAAAAAGGTATCACAAACTTTATATGTGTATTAAATGTGGGATTTGCATTCATCATGTTACATGACATAAATTTTTTTCTTACCCACACAATATTTTGTGAGGCCCGCACTTTTTGAAACAAAAATAAAAAATTAAGCACGCAAAATGAATTTCTATAACATTACACAATCACTTTTCCTACAACATAACTCTTATAAAATTCATTAAATATATACTTATCTCTGCCCACCAAAAAAAAAAAAATACAATTATCTCCTATTTTATCGATTATAACACGAGAAACACTAATCTTATATTTAAATATGAAAAAGTATAACAGAAACGCACTTTCTCACTTAAATAAAAGTCATCTGAAGAGTTCTGAACACAACGAGATGACCACGTATAATTTTTGCTAAAATTTAATAAAAACAAACTATATATGAAACCAACTTAACTCAAGACACGCTAATCTATACATTATAATAGAATTTTCCTATTCTTGTAAAGCAAACGTTAGTTGCTTAAACTCTTTAATATGTATTTATTATATTTGAAAATTCTCTGTCGGCTATGTAATCAATTGAATAGGAGAGAAAAAAAGAGGTAGATAGATAAGGGATGAAGTTAATGGGACATGATTCATGAACGTGCAGGCTTGCTGTTTGAGCACATACAAGTCCAAATGCATAAATTATAGTTTTGTATTTTACTTTGGAATCGATTATGTAACATCCATTTTATAGTACACATAACATATGAGTAATGGGTCTCTCCAGTCCCTAGTCAATGAAATTTCTCTCTCCAACTATGTCCACCACAAGATGCACATGGTCTGTTGAAGTTACATTACTTGTTTAGGTCAAAAGGTCCCCAACACCTTTTTCAATTGCCTCACCTCAAGGAATAATTGGGAAAGAACGTAATACCCAAACAAAGGTGTTTAACCACAAGAAGAAAATCTAACATATTATGAGAGAATGGTATTTAACTAAATAAAAAAAAAATAAGAATCTCTCAACCAACACTGACAGGACCACAATAATGTGCACCTCTATTATCGTAAAAGTTTGGTAGTTTTGATGGATAATTTCTTACACTAAATAAATCTATAAAAAAAAAAAAAAAAATCTCCTATCATCCCAATCAATATGGTTGTTAGATGCAAGAATCTTAATAAGCATTATTCTTGATGTTCAAATTACTGAATCTAGGATGGAAAGGTCTTTTGAAACTTTAAGTAATTATACACTTGTAAGATGTGGAAAAGTGGGGATAAGGCATGAGGCATCACGTGTTCCACCCAACTTATGGGCTAGAATTGCATGATTCAAAGCTTACTTTTATTTTTTCAGTACTATTTTCCCTGCTGCTCCCTGCACTAAATTATGGAGTCTTTTATTGCTTTATCAATTATAAGCAATTTATTGAAATTTGGAAGCACCATGCATGCAATGCAAATTAGAAACAGGGCTGTGGGTAAATTGGTAATTTGAGGTATCTGGGATCATCATAGTCTAGCTTTAACGTTGTTTTGTTTTGTTGAATATGACAAGAAGATTTATAAATAAGTCGTATGTTTTAACTATGGGTTGGTTTCATCTCATGTGACATGATAAGATCATTTTTTTGTACACACAAATCAAGTATGGATTTTACGCTTAAAAAAAAAAGTCAAACTAAAATCAGGATATGGCACCGTATCCTCAAGATACGTTGCCGGATCCTTGTTGCAGGAATGAACAGTGTCATTCCTGTAACATGATTCTTATATTTTCCTTTAACTATAAAGCAAAAAGTTTATTATATAATTTAAAAAGAAAAAAAATACAAAAAGATAAATATAATATGAGACTTTTATATTAGTAATTTAAACTATTATTTACAACACTCTTCTTCAAATTCGAGCATATAGCAAGTTTGTTACATAAATGATTTATCGTACACCTTCTCAAACACTTGGTGAAACATCAGCTAATTTTGATCAGTAGAGTTATATAATACAAATGCAACAAACAAATTAAGAGGGAGACGCCATAACCTCTGCTCTCAATTTCACTGAGATATCCACAGACGCACAATCCCTTTAGACAGAGAAAGGAAAATAGAGAGAGAAAATGCTATTTCTGCTTTCTCTCTTTACTCTTAAATTTTAAGCTCTCCTTTGTTCTTTCCCTGCATTTGCACCACAACGATCTTCTTTTCCATTTGAGAGCATATTTGCATGAGGTGAAGGAATATCAACATTTTTTATTTCCTGAAATTCCTTTCTTTCTTTCTTTATTATTATTATTATTATTATTATTATTATTTCGTTTGTGTTAACTTCGAAGTTTGAACTTCTACATTGCGTTCTCCACAGCAAGAATGGAGGACCAAAATTCACTGAATTATTCCTTGTTATAGCTGTTTAAGGATGTATTTGTCTTTGATGATGAGGACCAGAATCAGATACGGAGTTTTGTTTATGGTGAAAATTGTAGATTTACTTGCATTTGAGTTTGCCGATGTAATATCAAATTTTGCTGTCAGAGTAACAATCCTATCAGAATGTGGTTTCAATCTGATATTTTACAGTTTTGGGATTGATTTGTTTTTATCCATAATTCCATATACTATTTGTAGAAATTTCTTTGACTAATTTTAGGAGAACTGAAAAAAACAGCTTTTTCTTTTTAAAATTTTTTTTAATTTTTTTTTAAAGATAGCACTTTTAGTGAGACAATTACATCCGTTCATTTTTTACCTCTTCCATTTTCAGACTTTCTCTCTTTGAATTTATCTGCACAAAAAAGTTGGATGAAAAATTTCCCATGAAAAATCGACTCCCCAAGTCCTTATCATCATCACCTTCGGTAAACTTTCTTTTCCAAAGTTCTGAATTTTTTCCACATTCCATGTGAGGAAGAATTTGACAGTCTGTTCTTGGGATGGGGACCATTGCAGAAAACTCCAAGTTTTCCTTTAAAATACAGAAACAACCGCATTTTGTTCTTGTAATTATAGGACCTTGTGATATCAGTCAATTACTATTTATTTCCTCCCTCTGACATGTCTGAATATAATATAAAATTGTTTAGAATATTTATCTATTTTTCTGCTGGATGGAACCTTAACCTTTGATTAGTTTGTTGCTGCAGATAATGATTGGGGGCTGAAACATTTAGTGGTCCTTGTTTTCTATACCATTACCATCCCAACAATGCAACAAAAAGAGTTATGAAAAAAATGGAAAAGCAGTAATAAATTAACTGAATACCAAAGTGATCTTTGGTATGCTCTTGTTCAATGACACTTGAGATCATTCTCATCGTTGGAATTGGAGTGTAGGCAAGTTTTTGTGGAGGAAGTGAGTGAGAAATGGGTTCTGTTGGAGGGGAAGAGGCAATTCAAGACCCTATAGGCCGTGAGGAGAGAATTCTTGTCTCTGTTCGTCTTCGTCCTCTCAATGATAAGGAGCTTGCAAGAAATGATGTTTCGGACTGGGAATGCATTAATGACACTACCATCATATACAGGAGCAACCTTTCAGCTTCTGAAAGGTCCCTTTACCCAACAGCATATTCATTCGGTATGAACACACTACCATCGTATTTGATTTAATTTACTTCCTATAATGTAGCCCCGGATTGTGTATATATTTGTCTGTGTAGGTGTTTTTTTAAAAAAAATAAAAAAAAAAAATTAAGGAAAGAACTAATGTGCTTGGAGTATAAGGTGGGAATTTACCATAATTGATGTTGTTCATACCCTTTGTTCAGCGTGTATATTATTTGTTTTGTTGAGTTATCATGATTCTACTTGGGAGAATATTTCTGTCGTTATGTTAAAAATGTGGTTATAGACATGAAGTTGAAGTTGGTTCATTTATTTTTGTCGGTGAACCCATTCTGCCAAGATCATATTCGGCTTGATTCCTTCAAATTTTGCTTCCAATCTTCTGATCTGTCTTGCTTTCCTTTTGTCTATAGACAGAGTATTTAGGTCAGATTGCTCAACAAGGCAGGTGTACGAAGAAGCAGCTAAGGAAGTTGCTCTTTCGGTTGTCGGTGGCATCAACTGTGAGTTTCTTTCCTTTGTCTGCTTTCCCTCCTTCTTCAGCATCAGCATCAGCATCCATGGAACTTCTATGTTAACATTTTCTTTTGATCTCCCCTGGTCTCTACTTGGTCAGCAAGCATTTTTGCATATGGACAAACAAGCAGCGGAAAGACATACACCATGAGTGGTATAACTGAATACACTGTAGCAGATATTTTTAGCTACATTGAAAAGGTAAATGATACTTGAACACATCATTGCATTAACTTGTCTATCTCAAAACCATTTCTTGATTTGGTTTTACATTTTTATAGCACATGGAAAGAGAATTCGTTTTGAAGTTTTCGGCAATTGAGATTTATAATGAATCTGTCAGGGACCTCCTTAGTCCAGACTGTACTCCTCTCAGACTTCTTGATGATCCAGAGGTAAATATGTTCATCATTCTCTGCAGACCTAGTATATGTGCATTTTACTTACAGTTTGTAAATTTAACAGCGAGGGACTGTTGTTGAGAAACTGACCGAGGAAACTTTGAGAGACTGGAACCATTTTACAGAACTTATTTCTTTCTGCGAAAGTAAGGAGAGTTTGAATGACTCTTGCTTCAACCCCGTTACCTGGATTGAATTTCTTTCCTTATGTTTTCATTTCCCCTTTTACAGAAATTTTGTCCAACTAGAGCAAACTGCATAATTATCCTTCAATTGATTGCATTTTTGCAGCTCAAAGGCAGATAGGGGAGACATCACTGAATGAAGCAAGCTCCAGATCTCATCAGATTCTAAGACTGGTATTATATGTTACTATTTTCGCTAAAGGGCTCCCAACTTTGTGAACTTTTATGTTACATCTTCTCTTATATTTCCTATACTATATCTTTCTTCAGACAATTGAAAGTTCTGCACGTGAATTCCTTGGAAATGACAAGTCTAGCTCTCTTTCCGCTTCAGTGGTATGACTGATTTGCTCATTTAAGAGGAAAACAGTTCAAGTCTCAGTTTATTATGTTGAAGAACATCCATAGGAAATCAAATGATAAATTTTTTTTTTTTCTGGGGACAGAATTTCGTTGATCTTGCTGGAAGTGAGCGGGCATCCCAAACCAATTCAGCTGGCACAAGATTGAAAGAGGGTTGCCACATAAATCGTAGTTTACTAACTCTAGGAACCGTTATCCGCAAACTCAGGTTAGATAATGTAGATTAGATTGTGTTTCAATATTTGTGAGAGCCCTGAATTCAGAACATGAGTGTGCTCATTCAGGCTTAACCAGAATTTTTAGTTCTCTTGCCATGGAGCCAAAGCAGAACCTTTGCTTCCCATGCAATTGAGCTTTGGGAAGTTCGAAAAAGCAGAGAGACACAATCTGGATTCAGAGATGTTATAATATCGTTCACTTTTATAACCATATGGCTTTCTTTAGCTACATGAGATTAATGTTCTTATAATCTCCTTTGTTGACCTTTTTAGTCTCCTATTCACATATGAAATTATGAATTATGACTGACCTTTCTAATTCTACCAATAGCACCCACCACATATAGCTGTATTGAATACCAAAGAATTAATAGAAAGACTCTCTGGGGGGTGGGGAAGGTTAATATTTCTTTCGTTTTAGTTTTAGGCTAAAAGTGATGAATTTGGTTGCAGTAAGGGGAGAAATGGACATATTCCTTTCAGAGATTCAAAGCTAACCCGCATATTGCAGTCCTCATTAGGAGGCAATGCTAGAACTGCAATCATCTGTACCATGAGCCCTGCAAGGAGCCATGTCGAACAAACCAGAAACACCCTCTTATTTGCAAGTTGTGCTAAAGAAGTGGCAACTAATGCACAAGTCAATGTAGTGATGTCTGATAAAGCACTGGTCAAGCAATTACAAAAAGAGCTGGCTAGACTGGAAAGTGAATTGAGAAATTCAGGGGCAGCCCGTCCTACATTTGATTCTGCAGCATTATTGACAGAAAAAGACCGCCAAATTGAGATGGTAATATTAAAGCTTTTGTAACAAAATTCATTATTTTTTATGGTCTAATATAGGTTTGCAGTATGTATCTGACAAAACATCCAGGAAAAATACCAAAACTCCAGATAGATAAATTGATAAATATATCAGCCATGAAGTTTCATATAATATATTTGTACTATTTGTGAGTGTAGTATATGTTGTCACTGATTGTTGATTCAACAATCTGTTACTGATTCTGCAATGTTATTCTGTCCACGTCTAATCACATACCTTCTGTACTGTATTATCACATCTCCTTGGTTACCTACTATTTCTAATATAAAGTTTCCACCTAATATTATTTCCTGGAGTGTTTCTACTTATGCTGAAAATTTGAAAGATTAAAACCTAAATTATTCTTATTTCCTTCCAATAGCAAATAATGGACCATTTGATGCTCTTTAGTCATTAATCATGGGTTCTTTAACTTGATTTGTGGCACTCCCTCCTACTTGGACCCCTGGGTAATCCATCATAATCTTTGTAGAAGCTTGAGTTGAAATATTGGTTTATCTATCTATATATATATATATATATATATATATATATATTGAAGATATATAAAAACCATTGAAAAGGCCATCACTTATCAGCTTAAACTTTTGGGTTAAATTGGTTCTTTATATGGTATCAGAGCCTCGGTGTCACGGGTTCGATCCTCACTGCTCCCCCATTTAGTTAATAATTAATTAAGTGTTGTGGAATTTCTTAGCAGAGGTAGTTGTGTCTGTACATTCTCCACCCTTCAAGCCCAATGGACTCTCGTGTGAGAGGGCGTGTTGGAGATATATAAAAACCATTAAAAGGCAATCACTTATTATCTTAAGCTTTTGGATTGAATTGGTTTTTTACAATATATATATATATATATATATATATATAGAGAGAGAGAGAGAGAGAGAGAGGGGAGGGGGGGGGGGTTGAGGAGAACCTTTTGACTCCAATGTAAGATCAAGAAGTAGTATTCTCTATTTCAGCCGTTAATTTCCGTCCATCTAGTCACAGTAGTGTATGAAATTATATCTATTAATTAATGATTAATTTTAAATAAACTATCACTATCATATGGACAGAAATTAATGGCTGAGATGAGGGATAAAATTTTTTAATCTTATATTGGAGTCAAAAGATCCGTTAAGTCCTAATACTTTGAGAATATTTGACTTCATCTGCTATTTTACATGCTTATTGGATTATGCCGAATATTTTATGGAAAACTTCAATGGTAAAGTCTACTTGAGATAATTTCTTTTCATTTTTACAAAATAATGGGTTTCAAGCTCATTCTGATCCTATGTTGAAAAGAGTAAAACCTTATCTGGACCTCAAATATCTTATTGTTGTCAACACCTGTGGAATGGCTTTCAACAGCTAGAGCAAAAGGTAAACTTAGGCAAAGGGGTTCCCATTTTAATACTCTGCCCTGAAACAACCAATTTTCAACCAATTTATGTTGGTCTTCTTTTAATTTTGAGGTTACACTTCAAATGTGCTTTTTTATATATATAGTCCCTGAACATTCAATATTTAACCCTGAGATACGAGGACATTGGAGCTTTGCTACCTTTGAGCATGTTTTTCTTCTTGGCTGTAAATATGAACTGTCTTATCGGCCCTCTGTACATGCAGTTAAAGAAAGAGGTTAAAGAGGTGACTTTGCAGCGGGACCTTGCACACTCTCAAATTAAGGACATGCTCCAAGTGCCTGGAGTTGATATGTCTTCAATGGAAGTGGTGAGTATATTTTCCCACCCAAAAGCATTAAAAGTATAAGCTGGTATGCCTTTTTTTAATCTAATTCATTTTCCTGCCAAATCTCCAGGAAAGTTTGGATCGTCAGTATCCCAAATTACGTGTGAGAAATTCATGGGACTTTCAAAATCAAAGACAGGAGCCAAATGCATTAAGTCTTGACTGCGAGGAGAGTGTCAGGTCTTTTAACGCATCCCAATATTCAGATGGACATAGTTTTAGTTCTGATGAGAACTTGTTCCAACTCCCTGACCTTGAAAAGAATCTTCTGGTCAGAAGTTCTTCCCCAGGGCTGTCAGTTACAAGCATTGATGCTATACGGAATGATCTGGATCAGAAGAACATTGAAGATCAGCATGAAGAGGACTGTAGTAAGGAAGTTAGGAGCATTGAGTTAGAAGACCTAATTACAAACACACATACACACTCTAACCCCGCAGATTTAAGATCAAATACATACACCGATTCTAATGCATCATCTCCTTGTGCAAATACAGCTATCTCAGGATTGGTTGCAGTTGATAATGAAGACACAAAAAATATGGATTTGTCTTCATCTGGGTTAAAGGAAGACAAAAGATTGAACCATTTACGCCTAGATTTTGTTCTTCCCTCTCCAAAAATAACTTCTCCTTGGCTGACAGAAAACAGTGCAAGTAGTTCTAGAAGCTTAAAGTTGAGCAGAAGTAGAAGTTGTAGAGCAAGTCTCATGAGGAGTTTATCCTCATATTGGTTTGAAGAGGAAGACGAAATTCAGAACACCCCCCCAATAGGGAATGAGAAAGACTTTTCTGGAAGACCAGAGGGCTTTCAATGGAAGGTTTATGCACTAGATTATAATGCCAATTCAGAGAAACTGTCAAGGAATGGCCATGAGAATTCTGTGGAAAGTTCTGCTGTTGATGATGTACAGAATATGAAATCCTCCACTGAAATGGAAAGTGAGAGTAATGGTCCTTTAGCTTCAGAAAGAATGGAAAAGGAAAGTCTTAAGAGCTTCAATTTACTGGCTGATCATGAGGTAAGCTTCTATTGCAGATCTTCCTTCGTTTGTTTCTTCCTCTCTTGGTCTTATTTCCCAGCCTTGATGGGCCAAATGTCAGTTATTAAATCCAATTGATAATTTTTTTGAGCCATTGCTGTATGGATTCATAGTTATAATTAAGCTTAACCATCCATGTTATTGATATAAGTAGCACGTATACATACCAAAAGCCTAGACTGGTTGTATTGACTCTATTGAGAATTCAGGCAGTGATTCTTTTAGTTATTTTGCATGACAGGATTCGGCGACAGGATTGGATCCCATCATGTCTGCAAAGGATGTCAAAGATGTTGGCTTGGACCCAATGCAAGCTGATGGAGAAAGTCTATCAGACTGGCCTTCAAAATTTAATAGACTACAAAAAGAGATAATAGAACTCTGGGATGCTTGTAATGTTTCATTGGTTCACAGAACTTACTTTTTCCTTCTATTCAAAGGGGATCCATCAGATTCTATATATATGGAGGTAGAGCTGAGAAGGCTATCCTATCTTAAGCAAACTTTTTCTCAAGGCAATCAGACAGTGTATGATGGACGAACCCTTACCCCTGAGTCAAGGTAACATTTCAAGTATTGAAGTTTTGTTATTTTATTTTATTTTTAAAGATTTGAAATTTTTAGAAGTTTGCATTTTGTATAATGATAAAACTTATAAATCCTTTCACTTGAGAACAGCATGAGATATCTTAGAAGAGAAAGGCAAATGTTGATCAAGCAAATGGGGAGGAGGCTTTCTAAATCTGATAGGGAGAACCTATACTTGAAATGGGGCATTCGTTTGAGTTCGAAGGATAGGAGGTTGCAGTTGGCCAATCGCCTCTGGACTAACACAGAAGACATGGACCACATTAGAGAGAGTGCAGCCATTGTTGTAAAGCTGGTTGGTTCAGTAGAGCCAGAGCAGGCTATTAAGGAGATGTTTGGACTCAACTTTGCCCCAAGCCCCACAAGTAGGAAATCTTTTAAATGGACAGCCAGTATGAGGCATATTTTGTGAGTTTGGATTACTTTTTAGGTAGTTTTTTATAGCCATGTAAGGATTTCCTGGCTCTATATATAACATAGATAATTCCTTTTCCCCCCTATTTTAGAAACAATTGATTTCTGTTGTGTTTCTAACTCTGATTGCTATTGATTGTAAAGTGGTTTTTAAAGGATGTGCAATTCTCAGGTTAAAGATTGGTTCATCTGTTTAGACTGTGTCCAGGTGGAATATCATAAATGGTTAAATACATATCGTTACGTGCATTTTTTTGTATTTAATTTAAAAACAATTTAGGTGAATAGAATTGCTCCTCAATGGAGATGATGTTAGAGATGACAGCAAGAAATTGTAAGTATAAACTGAGGGTAAGAATAACCACCCTATATGTATATATAATAACGGGAAAGTATTTCTCCTGTCAATGGAGATAAGTTATCTTCGGTGAACTCAAAATGACATTATTTTAGAATGAAAATCAGGTGTTTTTGTAATTATAATATATTGCAGAGTTATATTAGTCTTTATCATTATAATTTTTTAATTTTATAAACCCAAAACAACGTCGTTTTGAGCTCACTAGAGATAACTTTATCTCCGATAATTGGAGAAATACTTTTTTCATTTAATAATAAATAAATAAACATTAAATTTAAATACCTAAACCTTAGCATATTTAGTCAAATGAGATTTTTTAACGGTGTATGTTTATTTGTTTACTGAGTGGATTAACTCAAAAAATCCGGAAATAAGTTAAGCTGTAGTGCAACTAAAGTTGTCAAAATGCGACAGTCCATCCCTACGCTTTAGTCTGTGTAGATAAGGGTCAAAAATCCACAGTGCCAAATAACATGCGACTCTTTATTTTTCATGACCTTTGATGTATTCTATAACCATCATACTAATGAGGTGTTGAAATGTAGAATATATTTAAGGGGAAATATTGTAAAATATTATGGATGACCTTTTATATGGTTTATAACATGTGACTTTTTGTTTTTCATGACCTCTGATGTATTCTATAACCATCACACTAATGGTGTGTTGATTAGTAATTAATCCCCTAATTATGTTTAGAGTCCTCTATAAGGACGTATATTTGATGGAAAAAGTGATATTTGGTGAATTCAGAATATAATAATATTTACTTACTTTCAAGAGCTGATACTTATTCTTATCTTATTCTTTCTTTGATTTTCTTTCTACACTTCATTTTCATTTCTTTCATATTTAACTTTCTCTTATATTCTCCATCAAATTCACAATTTTTTTATTTATATTATGTTTACAATTTATTTTATATTTATAAATATTTAAATTTATATAGTTTTTAGTTTTTCAAATAATCAAAATTTTGATGAAGGAAAAGAGTTGATCCAACCCTAACCCAACTCTCTAAATTATAGGACTTTGAGTGTTAGGGCTAAAAAAAATCCTAATAGGTTATGGTCAAATATAGATCTTTGCAAACTGACTCACGGGCTTCAATCCATTTTGACACCTCTACCACCACTCCTTGACAAGCCGTGTGAATATTCTCATCGTTGACAAGGGTTTATTAAAATAATATTTCAAGAAATCAAAATCTAAATAAGCTCATTGAACTGTTTAAATTGTATGAGGCAGGATCCTTTGACACCTCATCTGATAGCCGTTAGATCAAAAAAGATCAACGGTATCACATGCTTGCAAATCAGAGTCGTTGATCTTTTTTGATCTAACGGCTCTCAGATGAGGTGTCAAATTTAAAATTTGACACTGGTATCAAATTATCCTACCTCAAATTGTATTATAGGATAAGTGACAACACTTTAAATTTGAGACGAGTGACAAGGATTGGGCCGTCACCATGGCCCATTAATAAGGATCAGCGGTTGTTACTTACTTTTGTGTACCAAAAGCAAGGAAAATGACACAAAACAAAATACTGTGTCTAATCAAATGTCTATGGTTGGTGACTCGTGAGTCTCAAGATAAGTGAGGTTACATGCCTCCAACCGGGTTGGTCGTGAAGCAATGTAAGCTTATTTGACGCCTTCTTCATGCGTTATTAATTTATTATGGGAATACTGAAGAATTTTTTTTTGGTACATTGCGAGTAGGTATCTCCATTCAACCTTCTCCGGGCATGCCCTCGGGGTACGGTACGGCCCGTCTGGGCTAGCCCCTCATTGTAACAGTGGGTGCACTAAGCTTCGCAAACGGAGAAAGGACGAGACTAATCCCCAACCGAAGATTTTTGACTTATCCTCTGGCCTCCAAAATTTTTTCAAGAAACTGCTCGAGACATGGTTTGATCCCTGCACCAAGCAATCCCTTGGGAGCTCAGCTGCCAACTGAGCTCCTTGCGGGTTTGATTTGTTTTTTTAGTACAAGAATAATGGGTTGTTTTTTAGTACTTCATCTCCTTGTTGCTCCTCTGCCTTACACGAGTTCGATATATTGACTAACTCAACTTTCTTAGCTTTTGCTTTCACTAAGATGCCCACATGGCACGTGCACATACTACAGTTATACACCTTTTTCAAATTCTATGTACGATTAAGCTTGTTCTATATGAAAATATAGAATGATAAGTCGAAAGAATCCAGTCAGACATCATTAAATTTTCAAAACATATATTTGATTAAGGTATTTTATTAATTGGCTAATTTGCTGCTACCTTGAGTCTTTCTTTGAAAGGTTTAATATAAAGAGCAATTCGAGTGCATTGTTTGAATAGAGACAACGGCATTCAAGATGCACTACATTATTATGTAGTGAAATATTTCTTATATAAAGAGCAATTCGAGTGCATTGTTTGAATAGATGGTTGTGCTGCAAAGAGCTATTAATTATCACTATATTAAGGTCTGAGGGTAATATCAGTAGTGTTTCTATCACGTTGATCATATGACATTCAGAAAGGAGCTTCTTGAATCCAAATTTGATGAGGTTGAAATTATAAAGTGCAAGTTTGGTTATTTGGGAGCATGGGAGGGAGGATTCAAGGAAAATAATTGGCGCATCTTAAAGGTTATTATTGCGGATGGGGTATTGGTTTGGAGACTTTTAGTCCATTTTTTTTTGGTAAATGAGCACTCTATTATGTAACTGCATGTTGTGATCGAGAATTTGATATTATTTGGACTTGTCTAAGGTGATTTTTCTGCAACTTGCATATAACTATGTTATGTTCGAAAAGAAACTTAAAATAAGAATAACTCAGTGGTTCAGCTGGTTCAAAAATGTTTAAGCGTACGAGTCTAAGAATGAGATTGTCCTTAATTTCTTTCTTTGGTTCCTGGTTACATCAATGAAAATATAAGAAAATGACGGTTTTGTGATTGATGCCTTTTAGTAAGTAATACTTTGGTACCTTGCAGTCTGATGGGATATCTATGTTCAATAATTCCACCATGTGAAGTTATTGGCCACTTGGCACTGCAATGTGAAGGCATAGTTGTCATCGTCACCTACTGATGATTTAATCCCTTGCAGTCTGATTTAAAGAAAATTAAATCTAATGTCTTTACTCTTTAGGACATTATTTTTTATAAATTTGTGTTAGGTTTAACATAGAATAAATCACTAGTCAAGGCATACCTGTCATTACCAATTTGCGATCGTTATAAATCACCACTTTGACAGTCGCATGATGTTGCATCATAAGTAAAAGCATTTATGCGTTTGTTCGTCAACTTCTTATATCCTTTCTAGGCTTCTGATATTAAGGAAAAAATCGAATGTGTACCATAGAATATATGACTTGCATTTGGCTTTGGTTTAGAGGGAACATCTGGAATATACGGATCAGTATTTGCATTTGTTGCTTCGTGATTTGTAGTTCATGACTTGCAACTTGTCTATTTGCATATACAAAATGGAAAGAATCAATGGAAATTCACGGAAGAACGGCGCAAAAAAGCACATAAGAGCAAAGTTATTGTTGAAGTATTTTCAAAAAAAAGTTATTGTTGAAGTTCCTCCTGACGATTTCTTTGTACCTGTCACAAAACATGTGGAAGTGTGGGTTCCTATCCCTGAAGAACAACAACCTGAAATTTTCAAGTGGATGCTGGAAGAGAAAAGAAAAATGAAACCTAATCATAATGTAGAGAAAAAACAAATTAACGAAGAAAAGACCATTCTTAAACAGTTCCTGCTTGCAATGTCTATACCAAAATTTTAAATTCCACTCTAGTTCTGCTACATAATCATATCACTGACAGATTAAATTTTCAACCCAACAGATAGGATTTGGAGATAACTGAAGCCTTCATCTCATTTACATGGAATATAGGGCATTATACAAAAATATTATTGAGTAGTTACATTAACAACATTTTTTTCAATTGAAAATGGTCACCGTTATGCCCTACTGCTGTTTGGTCTGTACTCATCAATTGTTTTTTTTTTTTTAAATCTTAACATGTGATAAATATTCCGGTTCCATTGTGCATTCTTAAACCTGTTCTTGGAGTAAGAGTGAATAAAAAATTATAACATAATGTCGTAATAAGTGTAAATTGTATAACTGTCCTTACAAAAATATTTTATCGAAATATAGTGCATCTAGAACGGATGATAGTAGGTGTACATTCAAGAGGGAGAAATTCCTACTTACTACTAATAATGCCTCACAGGTTAGTTGTTTTTTATTGTTGTTCGGTCTTCAAATTGAATGTTTATTTAAGCTGGAGTCCCAAATAAGATGCCGCAAATGCTAAAAACAAGCATATCTTAACCCCCCAAGTCCTGACAACTGGATTTTCAAAGGTTTCCTTAAATTGGGAGTTCAAATTCTACCTTAAATAAATTTTTGAAAAAATCTTTGGGGTGAGAGGACGTACTTCTCTTCTTGAACGGTGAATTAGTTTCATCTTTGTTCCGGTAGCGAAGCTCAATGCATCCGTTATTTTAATAAAGAGTAGTTTTCGAAGCCATACTACAAGAATAAAGTGACCAGAGAAGGTTGAATGATATACATTCCAGATTATACCAAAAAAAAAAAAACAAGCATATCTTAACCCCCAAATTTCCCTCGTTTTATGGTAACAGTAAGAGTTTGTTCATGAGTTAATCTGAGATGGGGAACCATAATACCAGAGTCCAAGAGCATTCATTCTCAAGCCCATGTTCAAGCCCAAACTACACACGCTTCCAAAGCTTCCAATACTTGTATAAGAAGAACTGATCATGAGAGATAACTGATAACAACCTTTCTGTTAAGTTGTTAGCTTAGCTGTAATTCTGTTAAGCTTTTCTGTTAAGTTGTTAGCTTAGCTGTAATTCTGTTAAGATTAGTTAGATAAGTTATTTTCTTTCTCTCTTGCTCTATGTATTGGGCTTGTATAAATTAGATTATGATGTATTATTTCAATTAATTCAATGGAATCACTTTTATTCATTTCTGTTAAACCATTCCAATGTTAATTGTATAATTACAATAAATAAATTGTGAAAAAAATACTTTGTTAATAAATTGTACAATTGAAAATATCTTTCGAAGGGGAAATGGTACTTTAAAATATAAAAAGGCCAACAAACGAATATTAATTTAGACAATTAGAAGGTTCGCTCTCAACTTTACCGTGAATTTTGAAAAGTGACGCAGAAGAGTTTAATAGAACATGATAAAAAAAGAGACTGCCGAACAAAACCAAAAATCACGTTCTATAATACAAAAATAAATAAACGAAGAGACTAAATATTTCTATAAACGAATAAGTATCTGAAATAATATTTTTTATTTTGATAGTTGGATGGAAAGAAAAAAAGAGAGTACATTTTCATATAAAAGAGAAAAAAAATTAATAACATAATTTCCGTTTGAATATAACTTTATTTTCATAATATACATCGTTGGTTCAGAACTTCAGATTAAATGGCATGGGAGGAGAAAGATACACGATTCTTTCACAGGCTAACGCACGTACCAAGCAGGTCCCATTTTGCTTATGGCGCGAGCGCGCTCAGCAAAGCAAAATATTTTCAATTTTTCAGTACTCGTGGTACTAAGTATCAGGTAAGGTTCCGTCACCCTTTTAAATTTTAATATCTACAAATAAATATAAAGGCTGGTCCAGCCTTATTAAATGTTAGCAAGCTAGCAATTGGCAAAGATTTTTTTAATGTAATTTGTGAGTTGAGTAAGCCTTTTTTATTAAGTTTCCTGATCGAGACCCTTTTACCTTTGCTGATTAAATGGAGTGAAAATGTTACCTGTTGGCTGTTGCCATTCAATTCAATCACAAACACTGTCATATATAGGTAAGATTGAATGCCCTAGACTTGCCAATCACATTGTTGCTCTGGCCACATTAACTATATGTTGTTGAGATGATGCCCTCTACAACTCACTCACTCACCAATTCAGGCACAACAGTTTCGCAACACAGCTTGAAAGCTTTAATTTGAGTCACTCCTACTCAACCCAGCTAGCAAGCTTGTTATAAATTTCTGACAATGCAAGACCATTCAATGCTGAGTGGACCATTGTTCAATTACTACAGAATTATGAAACAAAGGATCATCTTGTTAAAGCGAAACCCTTTTTAGTTGGCATAATGTGTGGATTAGCTTAATGGAGCATACAACAGTGATCATTTTCTTTATTATTTTTTTTCCCTCCTTGTTTTTCTTCAATTACTAAAGTAGTTGTGATACAATGTCCAAAGACACAATATGGATTTGAAATTATTGCCAAATGGGTTGTATTTTTACATTGTCAAAATTTTCAACTAAAGTATCAGTGTGGCTATCAGATTTGTGGTCCACCAAATTGACCTTAATCCAATTTGCCCCTTCGGGATTTAGCTTTTGCCTGTACTTTCCCACGAGAACTTTATGTCTAAATAGATTCAAAAGCCTAAGTAACAGGGATAAACTTGGCTCCTTTTGCTTTCAACTGCAGTTGATGTATTTGACCATTCAATTGAAAGGGAATGAACCATGCATAACTTTTTAAACTTTTCAAAGAAAACACCTAATACCCAGCCAAAATCAAGGGGGGTGAAAGCATAAAGTGCCAAACAGGTAAAAATATATCCAAGCCGTCCCAATAAGGAAAGCCCCCCCAGTTTCCCCCTATATACACAATCATATCATATCTCCATAGGATTGTTTTCGCCGAACCATTCATCCACTTCCAATTGAACAGCCCCAAGAGAGAAAGAACAATACTTGTTAGACTAAACCATCCGCTAAACGAATCGGGGTCTTTGACTCGGCTCGTGAAGGCCCGAGCTTATATGTCTAAAATTGATTGTTGGAACTAGGCTTCTACTTGTATAAAAGCTCGTTTAATAAAAAGATCTCAGACTCCAATTGAAAAGCTCAGCCTTAAAGCCTCTCAGGCTAACCTAGTATATTAATTTTTATTTTATATTTTTTATACTAATTGTAATAGCTTTCTCTCTTTCCTCAATCCATTTTGTCCCATTTTATTGGTTAAACAAGCTTTTTGAATGATTTTGTTCTATATTATGTTGTTTGAACATAGATTGAATTTATGAATATTTATGAAATTACTAGTGCTATTGATTGTATATTCTGTTTGGATAAATTTTTATTGTTTTAATTTTTTTTTTTAAATAGGCTATGAAGCTAAATCAAGATTTTATTTTTTGTAAATAAGTCAGGTCACAAATCGATAATTATATTCATAACAGGTAACCGTCTTGGTTAGGCTGTCACATTTAAATATAGACTTAGTTTCTTAAGACCAAAACTCGATTCGGCTCGACCCATTAACACTCCTAACCACAATCAAAACCCCAAAAACTAATAAACAAAACTTATTCCTGTATAAATTATTGTTTTTCTAATAAAAGATCTACAACCTTAGTCCAACCAGGCAATAACCTTAAGTCAAGCTGGATTAAATTTTTTTCAAAAACTATTTGATGTTTAAAATCGAATATTGCGTTATTCAAAAAAAAAAAATTGAATATTGTCCTTAAAGGACGTTTGGTAGAGGAGAATTTTTTTTTATCCAGGAATCACAATTTTCAGGAATATGACGGGAAGATAAATTTTCTGAAAATATTACCAAAAATGTGTTTGGTAGACTAAAATATTCTCGGGAATATTGAGTTAATTTTCTTAATGTTATATTTAATTGTATTAAAATTTCTCTTGCCATAGAAATCTTAGAATATCACCTCCTGCATAGTATTCTTGAATGGTATTTTCAAAAAAAATTACACACAAAATAAAATTTCGAGAAAATCAAATTCCCAAATTTTTTTTAAAAACTTATACCAAATATAAACAAATATGATTACCACTCTTAATTTTTAAAGAATTCTAAAAATTGACTCGCATCCTGCCCCTTACTTTAATAGCATTTCTTTCTTGTAAAGTAGATCTTGTAATTGTTATTATAATAACTAATGAAAAAAAAAACCTGGAGCTGTCAATAATTTTAATTTATCCAAAAATAAAAAATAAAGGGGGGGAAAAACAAAAAAGAGTAAAAGAAGAGCTCAATGATTCAAACCATATCCCATCATATGAGGTTAAAAAGTTTGTACACGTAAGGGTCCCACCAGAACATCACACAGTGCGTTTTCAAAAAAGTGTTCATTCAAAGGGTTCCTGACAATAAACAAATAATAATAATAATAATAATAAAAAAAAAAAAAAAAGGAAGAAACAGTCACAATTTACAAACAAAAGACAGGCCCTGGTGAGGTTATGCAATCACAACTCACAAGTGTGTTTTTCATGTATGAGAGAGAGAGAGAGAGAGGGGGGTTCTTCTTAGGAACGGAGAATTGCATTGCCGAATCTGGAAAATACGCACATCGGCGCACACTTATGCCACTCGCTGCTGCTTCGCTGTCATATGCTAATGTACGCTTTAGCTGCACACCTCGCTAACCTCAACACCCACTCATAACCTTCCTCTGTTAATCTCTGTTTCACTCTTCGCTTCTGCAACGGTAACCAACAACCATCGTTTCGTTCGTTGCATTGCCATGCCTGCTCTTCTTCTCTTCATGGTGCTCTGTGCACCGTTCTTATCGTGCGCCGATCGTAGCTCTGTGACCGTCGCTGAGATCCAAGCCTTGACGTCCTTCAAGCTAAACCTTCATGATACTGTCGGAGCTCTCAACGGTTGGGATCCGTCATCGCCGGCGGCTCCGTGTGACTGGCGCGGGGTTGCCTGCAACAACGACCGAGTCACGGAGCTTCGCTTGCCTCGCCTTCAACTCGGTGGCAGACTCAGTGACCGTATTTCAGAGTTGCGCATGCTGCGCAAGATAAGCCTTCGTTCGAACTCCTTCAACGGAACCATTCCTTCGTCGCTTTCCAAATGCACGCTCCTACGCTCCGTGTTCTTGCAGGACAACTCATTCTCCGGCAACCTCCCGGCGGAGATCGGGAACCTCACCAACCTTCAGATTCTCAACGTGGCTCAAAACCACCTCTCCGGCGGCGTTCCCGGCGAGTTCCCTCTTGGTCTCAAGTACATCGACCTCTCATCCAACGCCTTCTCCGGCGAGATTCCGAGCACTATTGGTAATCTCTCTCAGGTTCAGCTAATCAATCTTTCGTACAACCAGTTCTCAGGCGAGATTCCGGCGAGATTCGGGGAGCTTCAGCAGCTACAATTCCTCTGGCTTGACCACAACTTCCTGGGAGGAACGTTGCCTTCGGCAGTCGCTAATTGCTCTTCGCTTGTTCATCTGAGTGTAGAAGGAAATGCACTTGGCGGCATGATTCCGTCGGCGATTTCGGCGCTTCCGAATCTTCAGGTGATGTCCCTCTCCCAGAACAATCTAACTGGCTCCATTCCAGCTTCCGTTTTCTGTAATGTTTCGGTCTACGCGCCGTCGCTTCGGATTGTTCAACTTGGATTCAATGGTTTCACGGATTTCGTTGGGCCTGAGACGAGCACGTGTTTCAGCGTGCTTCAGGTTTTGGACATTCAGCACAATCGCATAAGAGGCACGTTTCCCTTGTGGTTAACCAATGTGACTACCATAACAGTGCTTGATGTTTCGAGCAATGCACTTTCCGGCGAGATTCCGCCAGAAATAGGAAACCTCGCCAAGTTGGAGGAGTTGAGGATGGCTAACAATTCGTTTACAGGCAACATTCCGGTGGAAATCAAGAAATGTGGGTTCCTGAGTGTTGTTGATTTTGAAGGCAACAAATTAAGCGGAGACGTTCCTTCGTTTTTCGGCGATATGACGGGCCTGAAGGTGTTGTCCCTTGGTGGGAATCACTTCTCTGGTTCAGTTCCGGTGAGTTTTGGAAACCTTTCCTTTCTTGAAACCTTGAGTTTAAGAGGCAATAGCTTAAATGGAAGTATGCCTGAGGCGATAACGAGATTGAGCAATTTGACGACACTAGACCTTAGTGGAAACAAGTTTACGGGTCAAGTTTATGGCAATATTGGGAATCTGAATAGATTAATGGTTCTCAATCTGAGTGGTAATGGCTTATCTGGAAAAATTCCTGCGAGTTTGGGAAATCTTTTCAAGCTAACTACACTTGACTTGAGCAAACAGAATCTTTCTGGAGAGTTGCCATTTGAGCTCTCGGGGCTGCCCAATCTGCAAGTTATTGCTCTTCAGGAGAACAAGCTATCTGGGGATGTACCTGAAGGGTTTAGCAGTCTGATGAGTTTGCAGTATGTGAACCTCAGCTCCAATGCTTTTTCTGGCCGTATTCCTGAAAACTATGGCTTTCTTCGTTCGCTGCTTGTTCTTTCATTGTCTGGTAATCACATTACAGGAATAATTCCTTCGGAAATTGGAAACTGCTCTGACATTGAAATTCTTGAGCTTGGATCAAATTCTTTGGCAGGTCATATTCCTAGTGATCTCTCTCGCCTCACCCATTTGAAAGTGCTTGATTTGGGTAGGAACAATTTAACGGGGGATATGCCTGAGGATATCTCCAAATGCTCGTCATTAACCACTTTGTTAGTGGATCACAACCATCTTTCAGGTTCCATACCAGGGTCATTGTCGGATCTATCAAACCTAACAATGCTGGATCTCTCTGCTAACAACTTGAGTGGTGATATTCCGAGCAAACTTTCTGTGATCCCTGGTTTGGTGTTCTTCAATGTCTCGGGGAATAACCTGGAAGGTGAGATACCGCCAACGTTGGGATCACGATTCAACAACCCCACTTTGTTTGCAGGTAATCAGGATTTATGTGGGAAGCCATTAGATAGGAAGTGCGAAGATACAAACGAAAGGGACAGAAAGAGGTTGATTGTGTTAGTTATTATCATTGCAGCTGGAGCTTGCTTTTTAGTGTTGTTGTGCTGTTTCTACATTTTTAGTTTATTGAGATGGCGTAAAAAGCTTAAGGAAGGAGTTTCTGGAGAAAAGAAAACGAGTCCTGCAAGAGCTAGTTCTAGAGCAAGCGGAGGTCGTGGCAGCTCTGAGAATGGTGGACCAAAACTTGTGATGTTCAACGCCAAAATTACACTAGCTGAAACAGTCGAAGCAACAAGACAATTCGACGAAGAGAATGTGCTGAGCAGAACAAGGTATGGATTAGTATTTAAGGCCTGCTATAACGATGGGATGGTCCTTTCCATTCGCAGGCTTCCTAATGGATCATTGGATGAGAACATGTTCAGAAAAGAAGCTGAATCACTAGGCAAAGTCAAGCACCGAAACTTAACCGTTCTCAGAGGTTACTATGCTGGGTCACCTGATATGAGACTCCTAGTCTACGATTACATGCCCAATGGAAACCTTGCAACCCTCCTCCAAGAAGCTTCTCATCAAGATGGCCATGTTCTAAATTGGCCAATGCGACACCTCATTGCACTAGGAATTGCCCGTGGTTTAGCCTTCCTACACCAATCCTCGATGGTTCATGGCGACGTGAAACCACAAAGCGTTCTGTTCGATGCAGATTTCGAAGCTCATTTATCAGATTTTGGGTTAGACCGGCTCACAATAGCCACTCCAGGCGAAGCCTCCACATCAACTTCCGTTGGTACATTAGGTTACGTCTCACCAGAAGCAGTCTTAACCGGTGAAGCCACGAAGGAGTCTGATGTGTACAGCTTTGGCATTGTGTTACTGGAGCTTCTGACAGGAAAGCGACCAGTCATGTTCACCCAGGACGAAGACATAGTGAAGTGGGTGAAAAAACAACTGCAGAGGGGTCAAATAACTGAGCTATTAGAGCCAGGTTTGCTTGAGTTGGACCCTGAATCATCAGAGTGGGAAGAGTTTTTGCTGGGTGTGAAAGTAGGATTGCTATGCACAGCACCTGACCCTCTTGACAGACCAACCATGTCTGACATCGTTTTCATGCTTGAAGGTTGCCGAGTTGGTCCTGATATCCCATCCTCCGCAGATCCCACCACTCAACCTTCTCCTGCATAACCCAAAACTGCAAACATTTTCCGCTTGACAATTTTTTTGTCTTTTAGAAACTTCTTTTTTTCTTGTAATTCAATTTCAGAAGTGTAACAGTAGTAGTAGCTCTTAGTTATTATTCTCTCAACCGAGACTTAAAAAAAAACATTGCAGCCAGTTTTTCCATTTTTTGCGGCCATTTTTAAGGTTTGCTTCACAGTGGTGCCGGAGTCGTATATGGGGACCACAGGAATTGCGTAAGGTGTGAATTTGAATGCTATCTACCTGTCTCTCTGTCTCTTTCCCTGTCTCGAGCTCACAGCCAGTCAACGTCTTTTGACAAATGTAGCGCGATTGCGATACGGATGGACGAATGAATGAGGACATGGGGGGTGGGGCCCATGTGGCGTGTCGCGCCAAACGTAACGGCATCCATTTGGTACTGTTCCCGTCTGCGGGACGGACCTGGTTTTCTGACATCATCATGTGGTCTCGGCGCAGGTTGAGGCAGCGGAGATGGTTGATGGAGCCGTTAACATTGTGGGTCCTACGTACATGCTGTTCCCAAGTAGGGCATTAGTGTTTGGTGCAGCCCGAAGGACATGTAGTCCAATGGTGCGCCAAGTGGCATTTTCTGTTGCCCTAATCAGTGTCTTCTTATTTTATGGTTTATTGGAAGCAAAGAAAAAAAAAAAAAAAAGGCGTGAGGGACGGCATTAGAGGGGATATATGATTGGCCATTTGGCCCACGGCTCAACAAATCTTGAACTTTTTGCGGGTCATGCTCATATCCAGCATTTATTGTTTTGAATTGGATTCTGTCTGGTTACCATTTTTTTCTTTTGCGACTTGACAGTACATCAGGGATTCGGGGAGGAGAAAAATAAAATAAAAAGAATTATTTTCTTTATGATATTGTTTTTTATAATAAAATAAGATACATATTTTTTTAAGGGTTTTATTATTTTTTTTACATAAAATAGTTATAGAGAAAAAATGGGTGGATCTTACTATTATAAGAAAAAAGATAAGGTGCGAAAATCGAAGTGAAAGTAGGAGAGAAGTTATCTTATATAAAAAGAGAGTAATATTTCTTTTTTTTAAATGAGATAACTTTTTATTAATTTAAGATGCGTAACTTTATGGTTATTTAATATCTTTAAATTTTCTATTGATTTTTTAAGCTTTGCTTGTATATATTGTGAAAATAATTATTTTTCAATTTTGTATGTCAATATTTTAAGAGTTATAATAGTAAATTAATTCTTTTTAATTAAATTACAATAAAGTGTACATTTTTAAAATTTACAAAAAATTAATTAATTAATTAATTCTCTTTATTTAAATTAAAGTATATTGTCTTAAAACTAAATTAATTTTTTAGTTTTTTTCTTTTAAGGAATTACACGTATTATTTTTAATTTATTCTTTTAAGTTTTAAATTAAAATTCTATTGAAATAAACACATATATTTTTAATATTTTTATTTATTTTTTAAAATTACTTTTTAAAGTTAACTTAAATCTAAAATGCAGGTGAAATATAATGGATACTTATTTATTACTCTATTAAAATCTCTTGTGCTAAGAGAGAAGCTTCCTATTCTAATTGTGATCAGGTCAGGTTTTGCGTGGATAAGTCCAGTTTGCACTTTTTATCCTTTTTTTATTTTAATTTTTAATCTTAGGTCCAATTTCGTAGTACGTGGTAAGGAAGCAACGCACCAGATTCTCCTCCTGTGGGAGTGGCATAACAATTGGTAAAGGAAGCATATTATTTTTTAATAAAGTGGTAAAATATACAATACGCACAAGCATCTGGAATATAACGAACAAGTTGACTGGCTGTGAACAAAAGAGTCGGGACACAAGATCCTAATACCGTGAAGTGACCGTTAAGGGTCCTTTAAAATTTTTATAATCGCTTGAATCATGTGCTAGTGAGTGTCATAGTTTTTTAATTGGGAAAACTTCAAAAATTTTCCAAAGAAGTTTTTTCAAAATTGTTTAATCCCCACCCGAAATTTTAAATCATTTACTTTTCTATTCAAAATTTTTTTATCACTTACCTTCCTAATTTGATTTTTCATTCAAAATTTTGTTAAATTTTTTAAAAGGTACCAAAATTATCCTTAATAAAAAAAAGAAAAACATAATTTCCTCACAAACATAATTTTTTAAAAGGTACCAATTGTAAAACTTTATATTTTATCATAGCTAATTCTTGAACTGCAAGGTGATTTAAGGGGATTAAGTGAGAATACCTCCTTGTTATAATAATAATAACAAATGATTTGATATAAAACTTGCCACAGTTACAATTTTTTCTTCGAGACAAGATTTGGAACTTGGAAGCCTCACTGTATGTCAATATTAGTCTTTGTTGGTGAATTTTGTTTTGAGTATGTGAATTATATTATAAATTTTTTGGTTGTATATCAGTTAAATAGATGGTGTGAGTGGGGCAAGTGTTCTGCATATATTTGGACCTCATGGATTTTGATAAAAGTAGGCTTGTTAATGAAGTAGGTTTTTTTTGCCAACCTCTATGATAGTACTCAACTTTCGCTACATATCTTGCAGGTTTTACAGTAAAAAATTCAAACTTTCTCTACAGGAATTAAAATATAAAATACAGCATCCTACTTGTTTCGTATATATGAATATTTTAAACGTAAATTTATAACAATTGTTTGCAAGCTTAAAATTAAGCAATCATCCCTTAAATTAAAAAGACATATTAAACTAGTTACAAAGTAGTTTGTGAGGAAATTATGTTTTTCTTTTTTCTATTAAGGGTAATTTTGGTATCTTTTAAAAAATTTAACAAAATTTTGGATGAAAAATCAAATTAAGGAGGTAAGTGATAAAAAAAATTTAGTAGAGGAGTAAATGATTTAAAATTTCGGGAAGAGAGTTAATTGATTTTGAAAAAAATTGTAAGGAGATTTTTGAAGTTTTCCTTTTTTAATATTCAGATGGAAGATCAAGCTACATAAGTTTCTATTTTTTTTTTTTGTTTTAAACTTATTTGTCTATTCTTAAACAGCTCATAGAAAGAAAAAAAATTAATAACAAATTGACAGCGTTTCATTTTAACGCAAAGCACATTACCTCCCACGATCTCAAAATTTTCAACTGTTCCTTAATTAATGGGTTACTTTAAATTTTCACCTTCTAAACCATGGACGATTCTTTCGAAGGCAGATAAATTATGGATTCTTTGATTTTAATTAAGTATATTAGAGGAATTGAACTTTGGAGGTATATTTCTGCTAAAACCTCACTGTTCAAATCTATGGAGAATTTCTTGTAAAGTTTACACAAGCAAATGAAATCATGTATATACCTACTGCAACAAATGTCCAACTAATGAAGAAAATATTTTTTATGTCTTACGAGATCGCAAGGTCGACGCTATCCCAGTTTGGCTCAATTGCCTTGACCCAACTGAATAGATGGGTTTTTTCTCCATGGACTTACATGCTTGGTTGCATGATAGTTCTAAAATTCTGTGATCAATTTCATTAATTAGAAAAGTGAAGATAATACAAGAAGATCATATATTTATACATGACCCTAAAGCTCTAAAGAGAAAGCTAGCAGCGTAACAAAATAACGACTTTGTAACTGCAATTGGTTAAGCTATATGCTGACGTGGCGTTAACACATTAGTGCAATCTTCTACATGCGAATTTGCAGTATCATGCTGATCTGGCTTTTCTTTCAATATCCCCAACAAGTTCAACTTGGAGATAGCTAAGTGAAACAGCGGAAACGAAAGAGGTTTGGTCATAACATCTGCAAGCTGAACAGTGATAGCAATAGGAAGCAAATGCAACAAGCCAAATTTGATCTTACTTTGGATAACATGGCAAGCTGAGCAGTGATAGCAATAGGAAGTGTTCTGGATAGCCCATAAGCTTAGGCCCACTACTGGGCTCAGCCTAAAGAGTCCACTTCTAAAAGCCAACTTAGGGTTTCCTCTCCTCTCAAGGCACAAGGCTGCCCCTGCACAAGGGCATGGGTTCAGCATGCCTAGCCTGAAAAGGCTAGACTGACTAGGTGGACCAGGTTCAGCTCTAAATACCCCTTCTCACATTGAGGGAAGGGACTTCTTCTCCACTCAACCTCCACGGTTGTGACTATGGAGAGCCACCTTAGCCACTTCCACACACACCCCCCTTATGCACCATAGGAAGCTCCACTAGTGCTTGGTCTCTACCATTGCCACTACGGACACCCCCTATATCAACATACTTCACCCTCCATAGGAGACATCTATGTACCACCATGAGTACATGAAGCAAATTGCTTCATCTGTTTACTTTAGATTTATCAGTCTGATTTGTATGTTCCTTTAGACTAGTGTATTATCCGTGCGATGCACGGATGAAAAAGATCAAAATATTTGTCGTCCGTCGTGGTTGGTTAATCGCACTACAAACCTTATACTTACAAAAACATGTGTTACTATCTTGTTCTATATTTAAGGTGGAAAAAACTACAACATTGACACAGACTTTACAAATATCAACCATAAACAAAAATCTGCTATATAGAGTTATCAATATTATGCAAATCAAATATAGTTATCTACTCGATGAGTTATGTAAAAAATAAATACACTATAATAGACTATGTTAAAATGAGGATGGCTAAAAGATCAAACAAATATTTTATGCACTACCGGACCAAACAAATATTTTATAAAAGATCAGCTTGTACCCATAATAAGAAAACGCAATTAATTCAGTGTCATTTTGTAGCAATCATTGGAGGGATGAGTTCAACACATACCAAACATGTGATTTCCTATGTTTATGCATTACCAGGGACATCTTCTTTTACCATCATATTTACGCCTACGATACCAAATGCAAATGCTCATTAAATAAATTATGCTAATATGTTAACATCCAGAAGTAATAGTCTCAACAAAAAAATGAGTTATTTTTTTTTTAGAACCCAAAAAACATTGTCTGAAAGTGATTTGAAAGCAAATTAACTAAATAGTCATGTATGAGTCATAT